CAAGCAGAGCAGATGGCCAAGGAAGCGCTGGACAGGGGTGATTTCAGGCCAGGTACTTGCTTAGAAATCCTGAGGGCGACAAAGATGAGGCAACGGAAGGGGGAACGAGAGGCGACAAAATCCGGGAGAAGCTACAGCCTGATTTCATATGCGCGTGGACCGTTCGCAGGTTTGACGAATGCCACCATGGAACAGGTATGGTTTGTGAGGTATGTGAATGAGTACTTGAAGGCAAAGGGTGCAACCGAAGGGTGGTCGAGCTTCGTGGTAAATTTCAACACGGAAGCAAGTTTGCACAAGGACTCCAACAACCTGCCCGGCTCCATGAACCAGCTCACAAGCCTAGGTCCTTTCACAGGAGGAGAATTGTGGGTCAGGGACTCGAGTGCTCGTGGAAAGCACGCAGAGTATGAAGGCCGCGCGGGTAGATTGTTGGAAAGCAGGCACAAAATGGTTGCCTTCGGCCCTGATCAACCTCATGCAACAATGCCGTTTGAGGGAGAGCGTTGGTCCATATCCACTTACGCCAGCAGAGGTTACGCCAGCCTGGACAAGGAACAGAAGAAAGCATTGAAGTTGCTCGGTTTCCACACTGAGCCGCTAGAGGCCCTGATGAAGGACATCGGATACTTGAGCTACAGAAACGGGGTTGAGATTGATGAGGATTCGGATGTTGCAGAGGAAATGAGTCCTAGCAGTTGGGAACAAGCTATAAATGAGGCGACATCGCATGATGGATCGGAAGACTACTGGCAGGTAATGAAAGGCCACTTCATCCGTGTACACAAGAAGCCCCGCGTAATGCTCTATACCCCCGATGAAAGTGATTTCCCAGGCAGCATCGATGAAATCAGCTATTCCAGAAGCACTTACAAGACGTTTGCAGATGGAACCAAACAGACAGTAGAAGACGAATGGGGAATGATCCGAGAGGCGGACTCGAAAGACAGTCGTGAGTGGACAGGATTTACATGCTTCAAACAAAAGCTCTTCGGTTCGACCGACCTGTCATCGCTGCCGGATGCACCAGTCTCGGATGCAGGCTACATCGCCTTCATGACGGAGAGGTTTGCCAAGACCGCGATCGCAGAGGAAGCAGCTCAGGGTAAGAAGCCCAAGAAACTCGACATCAGAGATGTGGATGAGAGAACGCGTGATGGAATCTTGGGTGCACGCGGCGACGAGTGGAAGAAATACCAGACATGGAATGCCGCAGTCCCTATCCAAGGTGAGTTGCTGGGCAAACTTTTGCAAGAGGGCCACAAGCCGGTGCCATCCCAATGGGTGGATGTTGATAAACACGAACATCTAAAGGGCACTGAGGCTTACACTCCCAAATTCCGCAGCAGACTAGTTTCGTGCGGAAATTTTGAGGACGTAGACAAAAGCCAACTGCGATGCGACTCTCCGACGGCGGAAGCCGAAACACACTGCATGATCGCGAGTTATGCGGCTTGTCATCGCCTACGATTGTACTGCGGAGACGTGTCCTCGGCGTACTTTCAATCGGAACCTCTCGAACGCGTGATCCTCATGAAGCAGCCTAGAGGAGGCCTGCCAGGTGTGGACCCTGAGGCAATGTTGCTATGCCGTCTTCCAGTGTATGGAACCATGGATGCAGGACGTGGATTCTTCGTGCGGCTCAGCAAGGTTGCTCGACAAGAAGGGCTGAAGATGTCCAAGATCGGCCCTGGACTCTACTACGTCCCTGGCACTGATGGGATACCAGCAGTCATGCTGGGGACGCATGTCGATGATCTGCTGTGGGCCCATACAGACGAGGGCAAAAAGCTAATGGACAGGGTATTATCCCACTTTGAGCTAGGAAAGATAGAGGAAGGCGAGTTCCGATATTGCGGTCGGCGTTTCAGACAGGACAGTGAGTACAATGTATCCATCGACACGGAGGATAACACACGACTGATCCGGCATATCTCTGTGGAGCAGCATAGGAAGGGCTCAGAGAAGATAACAGATCAGGAAATCACCTCTCTTAGGAGCGTAGTCGGATCTTTAGCCTGGGTAGCGAGGTACTCCAGACCAGACCTCTGCTACAGGGTCAATTGTCTCCAGCGTTGTATTTCGAAGGCCACAGTAGCAGATCTAAGAGATGCAAACAAGGTTGTAGATCTTGCAAGAGCAGACATGTCAATATCCATGAACTACCCTGCCGGATTGTTTACATGGAAGGAAGCATGCGTGGTGAGTTTCAGTGATGCTTCGTTCGCTGGAGAACCAGGTTTCAGAAGCCAGCAGGGTCGCATCCACTACATCACGGCAGAGAGCATGGTAGACACGAATACCCATGTGGCTCACATCATTGGTTACGCTTCCACCACCATCCGCCGCGTATGCCGAAGTACATTGCAGGCAGAAACCTACGGGATGCAAGGAGCAGTCGAGGCAGGGGATCGCATCCGCGCTATTCTCTGTGAACTCAGAGGTCAGTTGCCAGTGTTGAAGAACTGGCTGGAAGAGTCGCAAAAGCATATGCGACACGAGTGGGTGAGTGACTGTCGCAGTCTCACTGACCATCTGGGCACATGCCATGGAAACAAAGTAACAGACAAAAGATTGGCCATCGAGTTGGAATCAATGAGGCAACAGCTGTGGTGTGAGGACGTCAAGACCCACGAGCTGTACAAGCCCCACGGTGACAAGCTGAGGTGGACAGACACTGCCACCCAGGTAGCTGACGCACTCACGAAGAGTATGCGCCCACATCAGCTCTTCCGTATGATGCAGGAAGGGAAGGTCATTCTGAGTGATCCAGCGAAAAAGCTCAGGAAAGGAGAAATCCCAAGCGGAGATTGACTGCATTTTGCAGGTGTGCTGAGCCGTCAATGGCAGCTTAATTAGATATGTCATCGAAATTGCGAACTAGTAGAGAGCCCGGAAATCGCGCACTAGTAGAGTGCCCAGAATGGTGTCATCTGCACGTTTTCAGTGTATAGAATCCCGGCATGTGTCAATAGATAAGACGGGTGAGAATACCCCCTCGTTTATTGTGTAAAGCTTGAGCACATGCCGTAGCAAACACGCACGTTTAGGGAAACCCAATATGCAGCATGTTTTGTATAGTGTACATACCCGCTGTGTTTGCAAAAGTGTGTTCCTGGTGTGCGCCCGTATTCAAACTGCATATGTTGCGTCAGAGTTCTCTGCAAGCATGGCATTAACTGAAAGTCAGTTTAAGTGCTCATGGATGTGGCTTTTGTCGTTGCCCGAGTCTGTCAAGGCAGAGTTGATTGACTTGCTCAAGGAAGTTGACTCAGCTGACCTACAAGTACGCGTTTGGCCTGGACGAAGTTTCTGTCATGAAGGGTTGGATGCAAGTCCTCTTGTTCCCAACGTAGGCCTGGCCGAAGAGGCCAGGCAATTGAAAGCAAAGGCTAGGCAATCGTACTGTCACTGGAGCACAACTTGTACGAAACCGTTCGTCGACACATCTGATGTCTGGTTCTGCAGATTTGTCACACATTCGAGAGGGAGTCTTCAACCCCCAAATCCCGATTTGGAACTCCATGCTGGTCAGAAAGATTTTTGAATCATCATTCTTCCCCGTTCAACCTGGAAAGATTCCCCCATGCAGACATCCCCCTTCCATCCCCCTTCCCCAAGTTCTATGTTCGGAAAAACGTCGGAAAAAGGCACATCATCCCGAGTTGGCAAATAGCTCCGTGGGCGAATCATGTTGAAGCAGGAGCATGTCGTAGTTGAAAGAATCTGTCAAGGAATTTCACGGAGATGTGTGGAAGGATGTGTCAGAAACGACTGAGTCCATCTCCCACCGGCATTTTGCGATCTTTCAACGTCAATACTTCGGACACGTTTTACGCCGCCAGACTCTCAAATTTGAACAAATAGAGCTCAACTGCCACCGCAGTGTCTGGGCTCAGCGCTGTGTGTGCTATCCTGTTGCCGTCATGCTGCAGGCCAGGATGTCGGCGTGTGCAGACGCATGGATGTTGTACTTCATCTGAACCTCCTTAATGAGAGGGCATGTCCTTTTTGTGTAGTGCCCGTGCTCGAGAACTATCCTGCAAGCGTGGCGTTTACGTTCGTACGGTCAGCGGAGAGAGAACTGTCCTGGGTCTAGCCCACCCACCTCTCCTGGCCCAGTTCCACCCCACTGGCTAGGGCTTCTTCTATGTGTGATTGCCATATTTTTTGGGACCGTGCCAGATCGAGATTCCCGCTGACTTGGCGGAGTCGTTCCAAATGACGATGGATGCTTTGGCCTTCGCGCATCTCGGTAATGGCCCACACTTTGAGTGGATGCTTCCAGATTGGGCCCAAGAGTGCTGCCGCCTCCCTCCACTTTCATACTGGTTCAGCCGCTTAGACGCAAGAATACTTGTTGGGCCGCCTAGGGCCTAGGTGGGCTTGTGAAATCTTGTGAACATTCAGCATATTTAGCTCACCATCTCGGGCCCAAGTCCACAAGGTACAGAATCATCACGGTTTCTTGATTGTATCGAGAGCTCAGGGCTGCAAGGAAGCGCCATGTAATTACTCCAGAAACGTGCTCCCGCTTAAGTCCCGTGATTTTTGGCGGCTTGCACACGTGTCCCACAACGTGGCAGAGACGCCTGTGTCCGCCCTAGTCTAGAGCCGTCGTTGCTTGTGGCCGTGGATTGCTCTTGACGTCTTGGAATGGTCTTGGAGTGCCGTCGGGATGGTCTTTGAGTGCTCTCGGGGTCTTCTGAATGAGATGTGTGGACATAGTAAAGTTGCTGCCTTTGGTTCTTTGCATGTGCGGCGCATGGTGAAGTGAAGTGCTCAGTTTGTCGCCTACATCTTTTTGCCTTTGGTTCGCTTGGGATGTGTGGGGCATGATAAGATGTACATGCTGTTGCCCTCGATTCTTGGGATTTTTGGGGACTATAAAAACAGGCGCTCGGAATGTTTCAGACTTCTGCATGAATCTTTCGTCGTGCTAGTCAATAAGGCTGGCAGATGGCCCCCACTACCACCAGATCCACCAGCAGTGGAAGGGCATGAAGCAGACCGCTCCCATCATCGGTGGCATGAATGCCCTGCGGCTTCCAGCCTTCCAGAACTTGGGCCCCTTGAACGTGATTTGGACTCCTTGCGGCTCCTTCCACCACCAGCAGTTGAAGGCCTGGAAATCCGGACAGCTCGAGTCCGCCAAGACCCAGACCTTCCTCAGCACCCAGAAAGATGTAGACCAGATCTACCAGGGCTGGAAGGAGCAGCTGGGCTACACCAACGTGTCATCCGCGCAGACTCCCTCCAGTTTCATTGGGCCAGGAAGGCCTCCCTGGACCAGTCCAGCCGCGGTGACCCGTCCCTTGACATGGCTTCACATCAAGGGGTGCAGGTGTGCTGCATGTTCCCTGACATGAAGATTGCAGCAGTGAGCTTGTGCACGTCAGGAACAGCAAGCACGTGCCGGCGGCCTACATCCAGAAGCCGTAAGCTGGATGTTGCTTGGCTTGGGCCCATTCATTGGTGTCTTCATGAGCTTTTGGGCAACTTGGGAATTCACGAGATCAGGGTCCCCAAAAAATTTAGAACCGGACATGCATCCGCCTCACAGAAGCACAGGCAATGTTGAGGGTCCCCGATGCACTGAACTCCATCAAAGAACCCCTCGTAAAGCCTAACCCTCAAGCTATGCATGAACTCTCGACCCTATGGTTGTTATCAACTCCGAGGACATTCTTGTCGAGTTGGATACACTGCTTTGGCAATGTTTGGGACCCTGGGCACGAGATCCCACCATCAAGTGCCACTATAGCCACCTGTATGCATGGAGCCCTTGCACCTCCTGCCTGCGCAGTGTGTAGGCAACATACAGGCATGCAGCCCACATTCACCGCACCTTGCGCACCTCAGCTGCCAGCATACTGTCGCCCATCTGCCAACGGTCTAACCTCATGAAGGTTCCAGGCACCATCTGCAGGCTCCAGAGTTGATTTTGGTTCCATCGCGCACACCTTTTTTTTGCTTCTCAGGGGGTGATGTGCTTGGAACGGGTGAGGAGTCTCGATTGAAAATGCAAATTTGTCGGGGGGGGATGTGCTTGGAAGGGGTGAAGCGTTTCGACTGAAAAATGCATGATTCCAGGTTTTGCTTATCGGGGGGTGATGTGCTTGGAAGGGGTGAGGCGTTTCGACTGAAACCGCACGATTCCAGGTTTTGCTTATCGGGGCAGGGGCTGATGCGCTTGGAAGGGGTGAGGCGGGGGGGTGATGTGCTTGGAAGGGGTGAGGCGTTTCGACTGAAACTGCATGCTTCCAAGTCTTGCTTATCGGGGGGTGATGTGCTTGGAAGGGGTGAGGCGTTTCGACTGAAAAATGCATGCTTCCAGGTCTTGCTTATCGGGGGGGTGATGTGCTTGGAAGGGGTGAGGCGTTTCGACTGAGGCGTTTCGACTGAAACTGCATGCTTCCAGGTCTTGCTTATCGGGGGGGTGATGTGCTTGGAAGGGGTGAGGCGTTTCGACTGAAAACTGCATGATTCCAGGTTTTGCTTATCGGGGGGTGATTTGCTTGGAAGGGGTGAGGCGTTTCGACTGAAACTGCATGCTTCCAGGTCTTGCTTATCAGGGGGGTGATGTGCTTGGAAGGGGTGAGGCGTTTCGACTGAAAACTGCATGATTCCAGGTTTTGCTTATCGGGGGGTGATTTGCTTGGAAGGGGTGAGGCGTTTCGACTGAAACTGCATGCTTCCAGGTCTTGCTTATCAGGGGGGTGATGTGCTTGGAAGGGGTGAGGCGTTTCGACTGAGGCGTGCCGACTGAAACTGCATGCTTCCAGGTCTTGCTTATCGGGGGGGTGATGTGCTTGGAAGGGGTGAGGCGTTTCGACTGAAACTGCACGATTCCAGGTCTTGCTCAACGAAACACAAAACTGCAAGGCCAAAGGCCTGCAGCAAACCTCATGAAGGCTCCAGGCACCATCTGCAGGCTCCAGACTTGATATTGGTTCCATTTGAACACACTCTCCCAGAAAGAGGCCGAGCCAATCTGGGCAACTCGCACCCTGACACGCTGAAGCGCATCTTCGCCTTACCCGAGCTGCTGGAGCGCTGCGGCCGGCTGACGGAACCGTCATGGCTTTTTGGGGCCCTGGGACCCTTGAAGCAGGCCGAGCTGCTCTTCCGTGAGGAGCTCGAGCTGTGCACCCCGGCTCGGAGCAGGGTTGGGGCTCCGGGCAGGAGGATCAGGCTTGTTATAGAGTGCAGGTTTGGGGGTGGCCCTTCTGGCCGCGTGCTGAATGTAGGAGAAAGCCTAGCAGAGCGCCTTTCCGAAATCCGAGTCTTACAACCCCAAATCGCCCCGAACCTGGAAGCCCGAAGCTCTGACACACTGACCACAAAGACGAAAGATTGTCGCGTTCAAAAGCTCGAATCCTTACGGCCATTCTCCTTCCTTCCGCAGAGGTCGCGGAATCTATGGCGCGACAAAGGAGACGCTAAACTGGGTCGGGAACTTGACCAAGTTCCTGAAGGACGCAGCGCTGCCAGCTGCAGATCCTTGTGGGCGCGATCCTTGTGGGCGTCAGGGTTTTTTTTTCTCAAGGTTTGGAGTGGGAGACACAGAGGGCGGGAATCGGAAAAACAAACACTAGAGGAAGGGAAAAAGCGGAGACAGCCTGACTGGAGCAGATGGAGACGTGAAGCCCAAACAGTGGGACAGAGGCAACGGAACACAAGACCTTCTTTGAGGTTTGAGGGATTGGGGCCGCGGTTGAGGGGTCTGAGGATATCTTCACAAAATTCACAGAGGATTAGCATTTAGCATTTGCAGATATTTGCAGCAAAACCTTCCTCAGAGATTCAAGACAGATAGGAGTAGCAAATGCAACTAAACCTTACTCTCAAATTCAAGACATGTAGCAATTGCAACGAAACCTTCCTCAACAATTCAACACGTAGCAATTGCAGCGAAACCTTGCTCAGAAACTCAAGACTAGTAGCATTCAAAACATACATTCCTCCGAAACTCAAGACATAAGCAATTGCAACGAAACCTTCCTCAGAAATTCAAGCCGGGTAGCAATTGCAACAACACCTTCCTCAGAAATTCAAGACATGTGGCAAATGCAACGAAACCTTCCTCAGAAACTCAAGACTAGTAGCATTTACAGCGAAAACTTCCTCAGAAATGTAAGACGAGTAGCAACTGCAACGAAACCTTCCTCAGAAATTCAAGACACGTAGCAATTGCAACAAAACCTTACTCAGAAATTCAAGCCGAGTAGCAATTGCAACGAACCCTTCCTCCGAAATTCAAGACTTGTAGCATTTACGTCCAGACATATAGCAATTGCAACTACGCCGTTCTCACTAATTCAACTTAAGTAGCAGCTACAAGGAAGCCTTCCTCATAAATCTAAGCCGAGTAGCAACTGCAACGAAACCTTCCTCAGAAACTCAAGAAACGCAAACATTGCAACGAAACCTTCCTCAGAAAGTCAAGACACGTAGCAAAGGCACCGAAACCTTGCCTCAGAAACACAAAACTAGCATTTACAGCGAAACCTTCCTCAGCAATTCAAGCCGAGTAGCAAACGCAACGAAACCTTCCTTCGTCAGAAACTCAAGACTAGTAGCAACTACAGCGAAACCTTGCTCCGAATCTCAAGACTAGTAGCATTTACAACGAAACCTTCCTCCGAAATTCATGCCGAGTAACAATTGCAACGAAACTTTCCTCGGAAATTCGGGACACGTAGCAAATGCAACGAAACCTTGCTCAGCATTTCAAGACACGTAGCAAATGCAACGAAACCTTGCTCAGCAATTCAAGCCGGGTAGCAATTGCAACGAAACCTTTCTCAGAACTTCAAGACACGTAGCAGATGCAGCAACACCTTCCTCGGAAGCTCAAGACAATTGCAACGAAGTTTTCCGCCGAAACTTGAGACTAGTAGCATTTAGAGCAAAATCTTGTTTTAAAATTCATGCCGAGTAGCATTTGCAACGAAACTTTGCGCAGAAATTCAAGACATGTAGCAATTGTAACGAAACCTTCCTCAGCAACTCGAGACTGGTATGATTTGCAGCGAAACCTTCCTCAGAATCTCAAGGCTAGTAGCATGTACAGCAAAACTTGCCTCAGAAATTCAAGACTAGTAGCAATTGCCATGAAACCTTCCTCAGAAAGTTAAAAAAGAGTAGCATTTGCAACGAAATCTTACCCAGAAACTCAAGAGTAGTAGCATTTACAGCGAAACCTTCCTCAGAAATTCAAGCCGAGTAGCAATTGCAGCCAAACCTTCCTCAGAAGTTCAGGACATGTAGAAATTGCAAGCATTCCTCAGAAACTCGAAACTAGTAGCATTTACAGAAAAAACTAGATTGCAACGAAATCTTCCTCAGAAATTCAAGACTAGTAGCATGTACAAAAAACTTTCCTCAGAATTTCATTCCGAGTAGCAATTGCAACAACACCTTCCTCAGAAATTCAAGACATGTGGCAAATGCAACGAGACCCCCCCCAAGAAGCCACAGGAACCGGAGCCGCTTGCACACTTAGACAGGAACCCTGACCCAGAACTCTGAACTCCACGTCCCCTACAGTGCTGCGGCTCACCAGCGCTGGGCGTTTTGAGACTGCGTTTCAGCCTCGAGATTTTTAAGAAGTCTCTTCTGGTTGGGCTCGTACCTGGTAGAAACCCGATCGATTCCCGAGAACTTCTGCGCCATGCCTCCAGGGCCGGGGGCACTGGCGTTTCGTCAACGTCAGAATTCTACTGAAAGCTTACCTCAAAGAGCAGTCATCTGACCAGGGAATCGCTTTGGTCAGAGTGAGTGTGACCTTACAGCACTATGAAATGAGGCCCCCGTATCCCAGCCTCTCTGAGCTTCTCAACATTGCGTCAAAGCAGCTGATGTAGGAGCTCCTGAGCCGAACTTCGGAAACCAAAGCCCCTTTCAGCTTGAAGCGGAGGAGTTGCAGCTTACGCAGGATGGGGCGGCGGAGGACTGTGCCCTGAGAGGTGAGAGCTTTGAGAAGGGTTCACCTGAAGGGTCAATAGAAGGGGAGTACCAGAGTAGTGGTGGGCAGCTTCGAGGAGCGCACAGTCTTAAGAGCTCGAAGACGTTTCCGACCCACATGGCAGGTGTTTGCCGAACAACCGCCGAGCCCCCGAGTGGCCGCAGAGGAGCCGCGGCCATGATGCGATCGCTCTTCTCTTTCCGGGCCGCTGAAACAGAGGACGCGGTGCGAAATCTGAGGGGGTTGTTGGGGACATGTTGGGCTTCTTCATGCTTCTTCGTCTTGGAGCTTGAAGTTGGGACCCTTCTCCCCGGAACTTCACGGGTTGCAGGATGCATGGGGAAGTTGAGGGGCTCTCTGGGCTCACTCCAGCTGGTTTCCTGTGACCTCATCCCTCAATCCGAGCACCCTTGGTGAAACTCGAGGAGCTCCGAGCCCACTCCTGAGCCCAGCAGGACCGACGAGGGCAACTTGGCTGCCTCCTTCATGTGGCCTCCGAACATCCAAGTGAGCAGATAGTCAACCAGAGTCCGCACAGCGCCTGGCCAACAGCATTTCCTTTTGATTCCTTGCATCTTTGGCGTCATGCGACAATCCATGCAAGCTGCCGGAGTTCCCAGGCTTCTTGCCCGATCTTCCAGTCCTTTGGCTTGAAGAAGTGCTTCGACCCCTGAGCCGTGTAGGGCATCAGTAGGGCATCGCTTGCCCTAAAGAAGGCGCCGCGGCGCGCGCGTGCATGATCGTGCATGGTGCCGTAGAGTGCCATAGAAGCCCTGACCAGTCCACGGCAAGGTTGTCTCCCGAAGCATCCCGAGGCGGCTGCAGGCCGCAGATCTCTTGGGAACTTCTTTATAGACCCCTTATTATTTCAAAGCATGGATTCATTAATATGGCCTCAATGTAAATCCCATAAGTGGACGTAAATGGTTTTGACTTGGTCGCGTAAATGACGCGCAGGCACATGCAATATCCTAACTTCTTGGGGTCTTGCATGGTCTTTTTTCGTTTGGGCCCCCAAAATGCACGTAACAGGTGACACACATGGTGTTGTGTTGACCTGTTGGGGTCTTAGGTCTTAGGTTTAGGATGCATGCAGGATCTAGGGGGTTTGGCTTGGCCAAAAAGCTCATCTCGAGAAGGCGCGCCTCTCAGGGCAATGCTGGCTCCATGTGTTGCGGGTTTGGTAGGGTTCAGGGTTGTATATATTAATACAAGTTTAATACAAGTTACAAGGTTTACTGTCAAGACGTCGAAGTAGTCGGATTTAGCATTGTTGGGTTTACTGGGTTAAGTTATGTATTCTTGAGTGTCGTTGCGTGGCGGGTTGCTTTCCTAACAGTAACATATCATATAACTAACATATAAGACAACATACTTCTTAAAACTCAGGGGTTTTTGGAGCCATTAATGTGGCAACAAAACCGTTTAAAACCGTTTTGGCGCGCCAATAATGCATGCAAAAAGCAGTGTCTAAACCATTTCAAGAGAGGCAACAAAACCGTTTCAAACCGTTTTGATGTCACGAAACTAGAAAACGCTATAGTTCAAAACCGTTTAAAACCTTTTGGCAATTAAGGGCTGTTTAGGATTGTACACAGACCTCAACTTGTCCATGCAGTGGCAAATTACAAATCGCACCCGGGCGCGTTTTGTATTTTTCCACACAAAAAAACCAGCCTAGCAGATGATTTTTGTGGGAAAATCCAAATCGCACCCGGGCGCGTTTTGTATTGTTCCACACAAAACCAGCCTAGCAGATGATTTTGGTGGGAAAATCCAAATCGCACCCGGGTGCGTTTTGTATTTTTCCACACCAAGCCAGTCTAGCAGATGATTTTTGTGGGAAAATCCAAATCGCACCCGGGTGCGTTTTGTATTTTTCCACAGCGACCCTAAACCGGTCCTCGCCCCAAAACTGTTACGTGGCTGCTTGGCTGGTTTCCACCCCTCTTCCCAAACCTGTTAATGAGTTGTTACATGGCTTTTGGGGGTCCACATTTAACGAGACTGCACTTTGAAACAACGCAATAACTGTACGCCGAAAGCCATCTGAACCCCTGAGCACTCTAGACTCGAGCCTCAAGACCTAACCCCGCCCTCGGCCCAAAATTGTTACGTGGCTTCTTGGCTGATTTCCACCCCTCCCCCCAAAACTGTTATATGAGTTGTTACATGGCTTGTTGGGGTCCACATTTAAAGAGGCCATACTTTGAAATAAACCCCTTACTATCACCTCTTAATACATTGGCTCAAGCTCGCCAATTACTGGCAGTCAAACAAACAGCTTGTGGGTAGCAGCAAAAGTTGGGGCTTCGCACTCAGCCTTTTGTTCCGTTTGCCTACGCATTTCGCGCGTTTGTACTGAGGCCTTACTTGATCACTAAGGTTCTAGGGTCAAATACCTCATCTTCCAACCCCAGCTTCGAGGGATAACGGGAGCCAACCCAACAACCTGGCGGGGTAATAGAGCCAGGGGACACGCCGTACCTGCAGGGCGACATCTGCAACCGTCCAGGGAGCGGGACGTAAAGTAGCGCTTTTCCACCCCAACTACTGGCCAGCGTAGTCCCATTTTCGACACTACCTGGTCGAGAAGGCCCCGCACTTGCACATCCTGATGGCACCTCAAGTCAATCACGGCCGTTGGGTCAAATTTCTGACCTGACTTGAAACTGTGCTTCTGACAAGTCATATTAAAAGTTGAGCCGTCTCCCCCAAAGATCCTGCAGACATCAACAAAGCCTTCTTCATCGGGCATGCTCTTAGGCTCAGAAGTTGCTCAAGGCGAGAAGGCCCGCGATTCTTGATGCGCGACATTGGCTCGAACATGCCCATGCATCCAGCGATTTCGTCCTGTCACGAAGGCTGGCTCACTATCCTCCAAGTTATCAACTTGCACAGTGTGCGAGCCATACAGGTGAGGATTTCCTGCATCACACGATGCACGTCAAATCGTCCCCCATCGCCACTTGTGCCACTCGACAGCAAACTTGCGGGATGCCAACACCCCATTCCCCCTCCCAACTCCTTCGCTCTAACCCTGGCAGCACTTTCACTTTAAAGTCTGGAGGTAAGCTTCCTCTCACACATCGTTCAACATAAACTTTTGCAACTAAAAATTATGTTGACGTGATCATTGCAAGCTGTATCAACACGCCGCTCTAGACTAAGAATCTAAGTTGAGTGAAGTCTCCCAGTCGTGCAACCGTGTGCCATTGCATGCGTTGCGGCTGCTTCGCATTCGGTTGGCAGTGAATTCTGCGCAGCATCGTCATGGTTGCGTCTTTTCTGGCATCTGTACTGGAGGAGTCAGGGTTCAAGCGCGGCCAAATCCTGATTTGGTCCGAAGAGCGGCAACGTTACGAGGCGCTTAGGACCCCGGTTTGTCGGAATGGTCTGGGCTCCATGATCGCGACAACTGTTCCGTTTTTCGGCGCGCCAGGCCGAGCCGCCACGATTTCCGCTTCCCTTATGTGCTCTCGGGTGCACGCTTTTCTGCTCGTACATCGCGTTCTTCATTTACTTCACCGATCAGATGATGCTAGCAGAGGCAGGAGTGGGGATTAGTGGTTTGGCGCAGTTTGAGGCATGGTCCACGAAGTAGGAAATACGAGTTCTTCTACCGACGCACTCCCCCACTTGTACATGGTGATTGGCTGCCGGGGTGGAAAGTGCAGGCCGGCAGGCAGACTGAAGTTTCCAGTACAATCGGGGTAAAAGCTTCAGCGTCACATGTGCTTTAGTTCAGGCACGAGAATTTGAGCTAACGCGAAAGCGGCTAGAAGATGCCAGCCTTCAGGGAACGTGCTTCGAGTGCATCGCCACGGCAGAACAGCTCTGGTCATTGAAGTTTCAAGCAAGCATTGCAGTCATGTTGCACGCACTCGTCCCCCTGTACTGTTCTTGCATGTTTACAGTTGTGCAAGAATGCTTTCTCCCATCCGAACTTACTCGTATCTGCTGGTTTGCCGGTGTGACACCTGTAGTTTTGCTGGAAGGGTTTCCATTCTAGTGGCTCTGAGTCTATACAGATTCATGCACATGCCAGTGCTGTCTAGGTGCAGGTTTTGTTGTCGGCACGAAAGGCTCTCACGCCGCAGCAGCACATCCTGGAGTTGGAGAAACCTGCACCTCGCCAAATCAAGTTTCCCTGAATCGTGCTGTTGAGGATAATGTTGAAATGCCAGCTAGCGTGATGTGTGCCGGTGTCAGCTGCGCTAGAAAGGCAAGTTGCTCCAAGAGTGCGTTGATAGCTTGAGCGATGCTCACCTACGGCATCGCCTGTACCTACACCTGCAATGGAGGAACTCAGCGTTCTCTATGACCTTGTGGACACAGACGGCTCAGGCAGCATGCGTTCCTAGTACCCTCTATGTATCTTCATGAGCCTTACTTGCAGGTCGCATTGATGACCAGGAGCGTAAGGCGTCGCAAGTGTTGAACACATTCATGAACCAAAGTGACTTTGCAAGTGCCTGCCTTACATCAGGCGTTGCAGGCAATGACAACAAGGGATGGCCAAAGAGAGCACCGCACTTTTCTTTGTGCTGCTTGCGAAGCAGAGGTGGCAGACTGCTTGCTTGCCATTGCCGTGTGGACTCGCTTAGGTTCTTGAACCTTGCCCATGCTGTCAGTCGACACCACAGGCCGTCAAGCTTGATTGCCGCAGTTGGCTGTGTTGTGATCTCATCGCCCGTCGGCATGGCAGGCCCTCTTCCATTCTGGTCAAGGCTTTCAGCCTCTTCGTGCAGTCGGGCAAGATCTCGACGACAAAGATCCGAGATCTTGCAGAGGAGCATAACTGCCAGCATGAGCAATGCTAGTCTCCATGCTGCACAATGAGGGCACTTGAAACATGTTTGTTTATTCCGTGATTTTTACGAGGTTGGTTGAGAGTGGTTGCGGCATCTCTGAGAAATAAGGGAGTTGTATGTTGTGTAGGTGCATTGGTAGCGCGGCGGGATTTCAATGTTGAGGTATCCCAACCGCTGTGAGCCAGCAAGTTCTTCATTACTGCTGTGCTCCAGGGTTTCTGCTTGTTCTGGAAATTGCTTGTTGCGCTGCAGCCCGGCAGGAACTTCTTGACAAGTTGTTTTGGGAAGAGGCCGCTCCGGGTATCACGACATGCTTAGCCTTGCATCGTCCCGCATGGTGCATCCTTCGTCATCTGTGTTTCTTCTTGTGAATCGCGAGCTGCCCCAAGGACATCCATGTGGCCTTTAGCATCATTGATGTGAATGGTTCAGGCCGAGCCGGCATAACTTGCATAGCATCCCTATCCTGTTGTTCAGCACGCTTCTTGTGCCGGACCAGGCTGCATTGATTCCTCGGAGTTGTCGAAGGCATCGAAAGTGATGCCAATCTCGAATGTTTCTGAATTCATGCTGCATGCCCGTGGGCAGCAGTTGGATTTCAGCCAGCAGCTTGTCCGCACTTACCAGCTGTCTTTTGATTCGATGCCACGTAGCCCTGGCATCGACTGCCCAGGTTCTCTAAGCTCCTGGCAAAGCAGCGTGTGAGCAGGCTACTTGACATTAACGAGAGGTTTGCAACATTGCTCTATTGTTCATGTTTATGGCACGTCATTGCCTGGACAAAAAGAGTGTTTGCCAACCAAGCATACTTCATCCCCCCCTTCTCCCCCTCCCCCCCCGCCCGCCGATCTGAAACTCAAAATGTGGAACCTCCTGGGGTTGTATGCGTGTCGAATGGGCCCTATTCCCAACGTCGCTTTGCAAGAGTATATTCATGCATCAAGGCTTGGTCAAGGCTGCGGCATGTTGCGTGTGGTGGTAGCGGCCTGGAAACACAAAAGGCAGTAAGAGCCGAAGAAGGCTGATAAACGACAATTAATCATTGATGATACTCGGCATCAAAACATTGGTGATTTTTGAGTGCAACGATCTTGGCGGTATGTTGCTTATGATGCTGGTACCAGGGGGAGAATGTGCAGATGTGGAGCGTGCAAGGCTGCATACGCAAACAAGAGGCAGCGCAACTCAGACGAAAGACGCACATTGAAATGACCCGATAGCCAATTACTGCGGCGCAAGCGTTTCGTTGGGGGAGAAGGAAATCGGAAATTCTTTTGACTCCAACTTCCAGCTATTGGTTTTCCCAGCAAGCGGGACGTGTAGCATCCTTTTACTATGTGCTTGAACCCCAGAAGGGAGAAGCGAATTGTTATAACTGCCCAGAAGTAAATCATAATTCGTGTTTCAGAGGAAGGGTCCCCAGCGGCATGTGTTCTGACTTCAGGGTCGGACTGCGTCTGAGGAAGGTCTAGCTCGCCTTGCGTTAGTAGTCTTACCTGCCGTTCTGATCAATCTTCGCTACCCCGATTCATCCGGATTCCCATCGACGGTAGCTGCCAAGGAATGTGTTGAAGTTGCTTGCCAAGGACCTGCTTTTAACAAAAAAGCACATTTTTCTAACAGAAATGAGAAATCGCTTGATTCTTTGGGATGGCAACTTGTGCACTGCGGTGCTTCGAGCACGTGCCTTTTGACGTGGCTCAGCTTGAGCAATGCTTTGTCGCAGGAGCTGCAAGGCAGGCAAATTTCTGATGAGGTCCGCATCTAGATGTTGTTTTTGTATTGGCAGCAGCAAGCTTCAGGATTGTCGCTGCCTTGAAGGATCTGAATCTCGCTATCGCAGCGGCGCGCCGCAAAGAGCAGGCGGTCAATAGCGTTGGACGCATGTCAACATGAACATGCAACATCATGCAACTGTGTGCAACTTGTGGCATATTTATGCGCCTGAGTTGGATGCTGAACGTATCAACGCCGAAGAAATCGAGGACCGTCCTTGGGTTTGGGTTCGGTTGCACTGCACGCACGCGTCCATGTGCTATCATGTGCTGCCAGGCCATGAAGCACAGCGTCCTCTGAAGGGTTTTTCTGGGAGAGACAATCGTGGCCAATGCTGCAGCGGTGACGTGGTCTGCACATGATGGGATATGATGAGAAAACAACACTGCCAAATGTGAAAGCTTGCCTTGGGACACGTTTGAAGCCACCAGACTCTCAAATTTGAACAAATTGAGCTCAACTGCCATCGCAGTGTCTGGGCTCAGCGCTGTGTGTGCTATCCTGTTGCCGTCATGCTGCAGGCCAGGATGTCGGCGTGTGCAGACGCATGGATGTTGTGCTTCATCTGAACCTCCTTAATGAGAGGGCATGTCCTTTTTGTGTAGTGCCCGTGCTCGAGAACTATCCTGCAAGCGTGGCGTTTACGTTCGTACGGTCAGCGGAGAGAAAACTGTCCTGGGTCTAGCCCACCCACCTCTCCTGGCCCAGTTCCACCCCCACTGGCTAGGGCTTCTTCTATGTGTGATTGCCATATTTTTTGGGACCGTGCCAGATCGAGATTCCCGCTGACTTGGCGGAGTCGTTCCAAATGACGATGGATGCTTTGGCCTTCGCGCATCTCGGTAATGGCCCACACTTTGAGTGGATGCTTCCAGATTGGGCCCAAGAGTGCTGCCGCCTCCCTCCACTTTCATACTGGTTCAGCCTCTTAGACGCAAGAATACTTGTTGGGCCACCTTGGTGGGCTTGTGAACATTTAGCATATTTAGCTCACCATTTCGGGCCCAAGTCCACAAGGTACAGAATCATCACGGTTTCTTGATTGTATCGAGAGCTCAGGGCTGCAAGGAAGCGCCATGTAATTACTCCAGAAACGTGCTCCCGCTTAAGTCCCGTGATTTTTGGCGGCTTGCACACGTGTCCCACAACGTGGCAGAGACGCCTGTGTCCGCCCTAGTCTAGAGCCGTCGTTGCTTGTGGCCGTGGATTGCTCTTGACGTCTTGGAATGGTCTTGGAGTGCCGTCGGGATGGTCTTTGAGTGCTCTCGGGGTCTTCTGAATGAGATGTGTGGACATAGTAAAGTTGCTGCCTTTGGTTCTTTGCATGTGCGGCGCATGGTGAAGTGAAGTGCTCAGTTTGTCGCCTACATCTTTTTGCCTTTGGTTCGCTTGGGATGTGTGGGGCATGATAAGATGTACATGCTGTTGCCCTCGATTCTTGGGATTTTTGGGGACTATAAAAACAGGCGCTCGGAATGTTTCAGACTTCTGCATGAATCTTTCGTCGTGCTAGTCAATAAGGCTGGCAGATGGCCCCCACTACCACCAGATCCACCAGCAGTGGAAGGGCATGAAGCAGACCGCTCCCATCATCGGTGGCATGAATGCCCTGCGGCTTCCAGCCTTCCAGAACTTGGGCCCCTTGAACGTGATTTGGACTCCTTGCGGCTCCTTCCACCACCAGCAGTTGAAGGCCTGGAAATCCGGACAGCTCGAGTCCGCCAAGACCCAGACCTTCCTCAGCACCCAGAAAGATGTAGACCAGATCTACCAGGGCTGGAAGGAGCAGCTGGGCTACACCAACGTGTCATCCGCGCAGACTCCCTCCAGTTTCATTGGGCCAGGAAGGCCTCCCTGGACCAGTCCAGCCGCGGTGACCCGTCCCTTGACATGGCTTCACATCAAGGGGTGCAGGTGTGCTGCATGTTCCCTGACATGAAGATTGCAGCAGTGAGCTTGTGCACGTCAGGAACAGCAAGCACGTGCCGGCGGCCTACATCCAGAAGCCGTAAGCTGGATGTTACTTGGCTTGGGCCCATTCATTGGTGTCTTCATGAGCTTTTGGGCAACTTGGGAATTCACGAGATCAGGGTCCCCAAAAAATTTAAAACCGGACATGCATCCGCCTCACAGAAGCGCAGGCAATGTTGAGGGTCCCCGATGCACTGAACTCCATCAAAGAACCCCTCGTAAAGCCTAACCCTCAAGCTATGCATGAACTCTCGACCCTATGGTTGTTATCAACTCCGAGGACATTCTTGTCGAGTTGGATACACTGCTTTGGCAATGTTTGGGACCCTGGGCACGAGATCCCACCATCAAGTGCCACTATAGCCACCTGTATGCATGGAGCCCTTGCACCTCCTGCCTGCGCAGTGTGTAGGCAACATACAGGCATGCAGCCCACATTCACCGCACCTTGCGCACCTCAGCTGCCAGCATACTGTCGCCCATCTGCCAACGGTCTAACCTCATGAAGGTTCCAGGCACCATCTGCAGGCTCCAGAGTTGATTTTGGTTCCATCGCGCACACCTTTTTTTTGCTTCTCAGGGGGTGATGTGCTTGGAACGGGTGAGGAGTCTCGATTGAAAATGCAAATTTGTCGGGGGGGGATGTGCTTGGAAGGGGTGAAGCGTTTCGACTGAAAAATGCATGATTCCAGGTTTTGCTTATCGGGGGGTGATGTGCTTGGAAGGGGTGAGGCGTTTCGACTGAAACCGCACGATTCCAGGTTTTGCTTATCGGGGCAGGGGCTGATGCGCTTGGAAGGGGTGAGGCGGGGGGGTGATGTGCTTGGAAGGGGTGAGGCGTTTCGACTGAAACTGCATGCTTCCAAGTCTTGCTTATCGGGGGGTGATGTGCTTGGAAGGGGTGAGGCGTTTCGACTGAAAAATGCATGCTTCCAGGTCTTGCTTATCGGGGGGGTGATGTGCTTGGAAGGGGTGAGGCGTTTCGACTGAGGCGTTTCGACTGAAACTGCATGCTTCCAGGTCTTGCTTATCGGGGGGGTGATGTGCTTGGAAGGGGTGAGGCGTTTCGACTGAAACTGCATGCTTCCACGTCTTGCTTATCGGGGGGGTGATGTGGAAGGGGTGAGGCGTTTCGACTAAGGCGTTTCGATTGAAACTGCATGCTTCCAGGTCTTGCTTATCAAGGGGAGGGGGTGATGCGCTTGGAAGGGGTGAGGCGTTTCGACTGAAACTGCATGCTTCCAGGTCTTGCTTATCGGGGGGGTGATGTGCTTGGAAGGGGTGAGGCGTTTCGACTGAAACTGCATGCTTCCAGGTCTTGCTTATCGGGGGGGTGATGTGGAAGGGGTGAGGCGTTTCGACTGAGGCGTTTCGACTGAAACTGCATGCTTCCAGGTCTTGCTTATCGGGGGGGTGATGTGCTTGGAAGGGGTGAGGCGTTTCGACTGAAAACTGCATGATTCCAGGTTTTGCTTATCGGGGGGTGATTTGCTTGGAAGGGGTGAGGCGTTTCGACTGAAACTGCATGCTTCCAGGTCTTGCTTATCAGGGGGGTGATGTGCTTGGAAGGGGTGAGGCGTTTCGACTGAAAACTGCATGATTCCAGGTTTTGCTTATCGGGGGGTGATTTGCTTGGAAGGGGTGAGGCGTTTCGACTGAAACTGCATGCTTCCAGGTCTTGCTTATCACGGGGGTGATGTGCTTGGAAGGGGTGAGGCGTTTCGACTGAGGCGTGCCGACTGAAACTGCATGCTTCCAGGTCTTGCTTATCGGGGGGGTGATGTGCTTGGAAGGGGTGAGGCGTTTCGACTGAAACTGCACGATTCCAGGTCTTGCTCAACGAAACACAAAACTGCAAGGCCAAAGGCCTGCAGCAAACCTCATGAAGGCTCCAGGCACCATCTGCAGGCTCCAGACTTGATATTGGTTCCATTTGAACACACTCTCCCAGAAAGAGGCCGAGCCAATCTGGGCAACTCGCACCCTGACACGCTGAAGCGCATCTTCGCCTTACCCGAGCTGCTGGAGCGCTGCGGCCGGCTGACGGAACCGTCATGGCTTTTTGGGGCCCTGGGACCCTTGAAGCAGGCCGAGCTGCTCTTCCGTGAGGAGCTCGAGCTGTGCACCCCGGCTCGGAGCAGGGTTGGGGCTCCGGGCAGGAGGATCAGGCTTGTTATAGAGTGCAGGTTTGGGGTGGCCCTTCTGGCCGCGTGCTGAATGTAGGAGAAAGCCTAGCAGAGCGCCTTTCCGAAATCCGAGTCTTACAACCCCAAATCGCCCCGAACCTGGAAGCCCGAAGCTCTGACACGCTGACCACAAAGACGAAAGATTGTCGCGTTCAAAAGCTCGAATCCTTACGGCCATTCTCCTTCCTTCCGCAGAGGTCGCGGAATCTATGGCGCGACAAAGGAGACGCTAAACTGGGTCGGGAACTTGACCAAGTTCCTGAAGGACGCAGCGCTGCCAGCTGCAGATCCTTGTGGGCGCCATCCTCTAGGGCGTCAGGGTTTTTTTTCTCAAGGTTTGGAGTGGGAGACACAGAGGGCGGGAATCGGAAAAACAAACACTAGAGGAAGGGAGAAAGTGGAGACAGCCTGACTGGAGCAGATGGAGACGTGAAGCCCAAGCAGCGGGACAGAGGCAACGGGACGCAAGACCTTCTTTGAGGTTTGAGGGATTGGGGCCGCGGTTGAGGGGTCTGAGGATATCACAAAATTCACAGAGGATTAGCATTTAGCATTTGCAGATATTTGCAGCAAAACCTTCCTCAGAGATTCAAGACAGATAGGAGTAGTAAATGCAGCTAAACCTTACTCTCAAATTCAAGACATGTAGCAATTGCAACGAAGCCTTCGTAAGAAAGTCAAGACTAGTAGCATGTACGGCGAAACCTTCCTCAGAAATTCCAGACGAGTAGCAACTGCAACGAAACCTTCCTCAACAATTCAACACATGTAGCAATTGCAGCGAAACCTTGCTCAGAAACTCAAGACAAGTAGCATTCAAAACATACATTCCTCCGAAACTCAAGACATAAGCAATTGCAACGAAACCTTCCTCAGAAATTCAAGCCGGGTAGCAATTGCAACGAAACCTTCCCCAGAATCTCAAGACCAGTAGCATTTACATCCAAGACATATAGCAATTGCAACTAAGCCTTCCTCAGAAGTTCAACCTGAGTAGCAGCTACAAGGAAACCTTCTTCAGAAATTTAAGCCGAGTAGCAATTGCAACGAAACCTTCCTCAGAAACTCAAGAAACGCAACCATTGCAGCGAAACCTTCCTCAGAAAGTCAAAACACGTAGCAAAGGCAACGAAACCTTCCTCAGAAACACAAAACTAGTAGAATTTACAGCGAAACCTTCCTCAGCAATTCAAGCCGAGTAGCAAAGGCAACGAAACCTTCCTTCCTCAGAAACTCAAGACGAGTGTCAATTTCAGCCAAACCTTGCTCAGAATCTCAAAATAGTAGAGTTTACAACGAAACCTTCCTCAGAAATTCATGCCGAGCAGCAATTGCAGCGAAACCTTTCTCAGAGTTTCAAGACACGTAGCAAATGCAACGAAACCTTGCTCAGCAATTCAAGACACGTAGCAAATGCAACGAAACCTTGCTCAGCAATTCAAGACACGTAGCAATTGCAACGAAACCTTGCTCAGAACTTCAAGACACGGAGCAGATGCAAAATGCTCAGAAACGCAAGACAATTGGAACGAAGTCTTCCGCCGAAACTTGAGACGAGTAGCATTTAGAGTCAATGTAGAGCAAAACCTTCCTTTTAAATTCATGCCGAGTAGCATTTGCAACGAAACTTTCCTCAGAATTCAAGACATGTAGCAATTGCAACGAAACCTTCCTCAGCAACTCGAGACTGGTATGATTTGCAGCGAAACCTTCCTCAGAATCTCAAGGCTAGTAGCATTTACAGCAAAACTTGCCTCAGAAATTCAAGACTAGTAGCAATTGCAATGAAACCTTCCTCAGAAAGTTAAAAAAAGAGTGGCAATTGCGGCGAAGCCTTCATCAGAAACTCAAGACTAGTAGCATTTACAGCGAAACCTTCCTCATAAATTCAAGCCGAGTAGCAATTGCAACCAAACCTTCCTCAGAAGTTCAGGACTTGTAGAAATTGCAACGAAGCATTCCTCAGAAATTCAAACCACTAGCAGTTACAGAAAAAACTTCCTCAGAATCTCTAGATTGCAACGAAACCTTCCTCAGAAATTCAAGACTAGTAGCATGTACAACAAAACTTTCCTCAGAAATTCACTCCGAGCAGCAATTGCAACAACACCTTCCTCAGAAATTCAAGACATGTGTCAAATGCAACGAAACCTTCCTCAGAAATTCAAGACTAGACCCCCCCCCCCCCAAGAAGCCACAGGAACCGGAGCCGCTTGCACACTTAGACAGGAACCCTGACCCAGAACTCTGAATTCCATACCCATCCCCTACAGAGCTGCGGCTCACCAGCGCTGGGCGTTTTGAGTCTGCGTTTCAGCCTCGCCATTGCAGATAGATCAAAGACAACAAGAGATGACAACCTGACCTTGCGCTCTCAACCATTGTTCTCAAGTCTTCCAGACTTTTAAGAAGTCTTCTGGTTGGGCTCGTACCTGGTAGAAACCCGATCGATTCCCGAGAACTTCTGCGCCATGCCTTCAGTCCGTGCCAGGACCGCGGCGACCTGGCAGGGCTGATGGAGCTGCTGCCACTTCTGCAGGAAGTAGATGCCGGGGGCGTTGGCGTTTCATCAACTTCAGAGTTCTACTGAAAGCTTACCTCAAAGAGCCGAAAGACCTAGTCATCTGACCAGAGATCGCTTGGGCCAGGGCGAGTGTGACCTTACAGCACTCTGACATGAGGCCCCTGTATTTCAGCCTCTTTGAGCTTCTCAACATTGCGTCAAAGTAGCAGATGAACCAAAGCCCCTTTCAGCATGAAGCGGAGGAGTTGCAGCTTACGCAGGACGGGGCGGAGGATTGCCCTAAGAGCTGTGAGATTTGAGAAGGGCTCCCCTGAAGGGTCAATAGAAGGGGAGTACCAGAGTAGTGGTGGGCAGCTTCGACTTCGAGAAGCGAGTCTTGAGAGCTCGAAGACGTTTGCCCTATATGGCAGGATCCCTTGTTCCGGTGCAATCTGCTGAAGGTCTCAGTAGGCACGAAACACTTCCCGGTCTCCGAACCCGTGGCTTCTGTGGCCAGAGCAGCAGAGCTAGAGAAGCCTTGGTCCGCGCATCTATATCCCCAAAGCCCCCGAGTGGCAGAGGAGCCGGGGCCATGATGCTATCGTTCTTCTCTAGCCGGGCCGCTGAGGACGCGGCGCAGGGCTTTCGGGAACTGCGGGTGGCAAGCCAAGTCCTGAACTGAACCCTGAGCCGTAACACCACAAACTTCCTTGAACCCCCGCATTAAGTTCCTAAACCGCAGAAAATCCGATGGGGTTGTTGGGCTATGCTATGTTGGGCTTCTTCGGCTTGGAGCTTGAAGTTGGGACCCTTCTCCCCGGAGCTGTGCAGGATGGGCACGGGGAAGTCGAGGGGCTCTGGGGCTCCGGGGCTCACTCCAAGCCTCAATCCGAGCACCGTTGTGGTGAAACTCGAGGAGCTCCGAGCCCACTCCTGGTGGCAGCTTGGCTGCTTGCTTCATGTGAGCCCAAAGTCCCGCTGGGAGTTGTAGCGTTGGCTAAGACTGTATTTCTTTTTGATTCCTTGCACTTTTGGCATCATGCAGCAGTCCTTGCAAGCTCCCAGAGTTCCCAGGTTTCTTACCCGATCTTCCAGTCCTTTGGCCTGAAGTGCTTCGACCCCTGAGCGCCCTCGTCTTGCTGAGACAGGACCCCGACTCCTCAAGGCAGCGGAGACCTCACCCGCGGACCTTGCTCGTGTGCACTACGAAAGGTGTTGGACAGTGTAGGGCATCGCTTGCCCAAAAAAAGTCTGCGCCAGCAGCACAAGGCGGGCCTTTCTGGGTTGAAACGGGGGCCTGTTCATTGGCGACGTGTTGAGTTGCGCTTCCATGCAGGGGGACATTCACTTGAGAAGCACGTGTTCTCGGAGCACCAGTCCCCCGAAACTCTACGTGCCTGTACATGTGGCGTGGCTGAGGTAAGGAGAGGTGTTTCACTGCCTTCAAAGAATTTTAGCCGTAGGAGGCAGTACCTGGGGTTCAGGGGTCTTGGGCCTTGGGGTTTCGGGTTTCGGGTCATAGAACCTTGCCAAAATCCTTGCGAGCCCAAAGCCGCAACGTCGCAAGACCCCTGTGCGAACCCTGCAACCTTGGTAGCGCGTTGCCCGAAACTGATTGAACAAGCCCCGCATGTCCTGGACCACTCCCTTGGACCACTCCCTGGACCTGCGCAGCAATCACTTGTGCTTTGAAACTCCTGACCGCTGAAGACTCTGAGTTGCGCTTCGCTTGGCTCCAAAGCTTGCATGCGAGGTCACCGCCACTCCGAAAGCCCAAATACTCACACAACAAGATGCCCACCGACCGACCGAAGCATCCGAAGCCCAAACCCTAAACTCCCGAAGCCTGAAACGCTGAACTCAACGCAGACTGTCGCCTTTCCCCGTTCCTTGCCTCGCCAATTTGCCTTTCAGGTAGTTTCAGGTGTCAGCACATAAGACCTAATCAATCCTGTTGCTGATAGTAGGGAAGGAAGGGAAGAAACTTTCAAGCCCTTTGAAGAAGTTGAGAAGGCTTGCCATGGCTGGTGTGCGGGAAATTCCGCGCCATGGACGAAGAAGTGCAACTGGAAAAATTGCAAGGGTTGTGCAGCATGCGTGGAACCGGATGGTTGCTTGCCGCCAACCACGTATTCAGGTTGGGGCGATGAAGGTTATCCTGACAACTTCAAAGGCTGGTATGATGTACAGGGTTGGTGAGTGCCATGACTACTGCCGCTGGGTGGGCGGTTCTGGGTCAGGCGGCGATCCCAAGGAGAAGCTTACCCACGAGGCCTCGTTTTGGAGTTGCTGGCTTGCAGGAACCTAGTGGAGCGTTTCAGTCCTGGAACTTCGACAAGTGTTCGGGTGAGGGTGCCGTCGCGCCTGCACCAGCGCCTCCAGCGACACCGTATGTTCCTGGTGCACCCGGCGCTGCCTGGTCCTGCGTGTCGTGAGAGCCAGAATCCACCGCATCTTCAATGAAGCGGCAATCAAGTGTTCAATGAGCTTGGTCTTCAGGCAGGGTTGGGGGTTTGCGGGTTTGGGGT